ATTTTTAAATTAATAACCATATAATTTCTTCATTGCAGAATAACTGGATTATATTGTATTAATAATTTAAATGACTGGCGAACTACAAAAGGATAAAATATGAATGAATGAATAACTTATCAGATGTGTTATGTTATAAATAAATATCAACTGAATCCTCTGTTTACATTATGCTCGGCAGATAATTGTTTACTTTCAGGTTTTTCATCATTACCGGCTCTCTCCTCTCTGTTGATTATTATATTCGCACTCAAGTGCCTTTTCATCTTTATATGTCTGCATGCGAAACATTTCTTCAGTACATTATACTTTTGTAAGTTATATATGCGATGAATGTTTAACTAAACGTTCACTCAAAATCATGGACTTCATAATAGTACATGTTCGCAAGAGTGTGTGTTTGTGTGTGCGTCTGTGTTTGTTGTTGTTATAATAATACAAACATAAACGGAGACACACACGCACACAAACACACACACTTGTGAATATGTACTACATGAGTGAGTGGCCGTAGAGGCATTCCTCTCGACCAAAACTGTTGCAACTACTAACAACGAGCGTAAATAATATGGGTCCAACTGTCTTCAGATGACTCAGTTGCACGACCAAGTTTAACTCCATATCGAGAAATGCTTGGAACCTCACGTTTTATTAAACTTCGAAGATTTGTTAGGAACAAAACCTTTTACTTTTAATCGCAATTTATTGGAATATTAGGATGTAAATGTAAATGACAGTTTATTCATACACAGCACTAATCACTAACGCAGCGGTTCATTTAGAATTATACGCTAGCGCTTACTATCTATGAAATGTACGTGTAGTTTATGTACGGAGTTTGTACGTCTAATGTATGTATATGGAGTCAATATAAGTAAATGTGTTATTTTATGTATGTGGTATTTTATGTATGTTAGAAGTAGTAATGGTTGTAGCGTAGTTGCCCCATACGTGTTTGTACATACCCTACATGCGTAAAGAGAAAACCCATGCAGTGCAATGCAATGTAGCACACATGTTTGTATCGGTGAATCGAAGAATCAATACTTAATCCGTATGTTTTCAGCCGCTGGTTGTTCAAAAATAATTCTGCATTGTTGTCATTGTTCTGTCTGATATTATTTGGTTTTCTTGCGTAATGATTTTTAGTTGTTTAAAACAGTCAGTTGTGGCTGATAACAACGTTGTTATGATGAATTTCTTTGGGTTTAGATTATAAGATTATAGTGTCCTTATTAATGATAAATATGAGTTCAGGCACGAATATTTCTAACACGAATATCCACAACCTGTGCCTGATAATGTGACAAGGCCAACCAGAGGTATTCGTAAATCAACCCTGGAACGAAAGGTGGTTCTGCCTCCCAGGGCTGAGCGCCAATAAACGTACATCATCATGATGATGATATACATATACACATATATATGAAAAATACGACACCAATGAAGTAACTCACATTGCTAAGTTTAAAAAAAAACTTATGATGTTATGATGAATTTCTTTGGGTTTAGATTATAAGATTATAGTGTCCTTATTAATGATAAATATGAGTTCAGGCACGAATATTTCTAACACGAATATCCACAACCTGTGCCTGATAATGTGACAAGGCCAACCAGAGGTATTCGTAAATCAACCCTGGAACGAAAGGTGGTTCTGCCTCCCAGGGCTGAGCGCCAATAAACGTACATCATCATGATGATGATATACATATACACATATATATGAAAAATACGACACCAATGAAGTAACTCACATTGCTAAGTTTAAAAAAAAAGTTTAAAAAATTCAAACCTGCACTGAAGATGATTTGTTAAAAATTAAAATAAAACCTATCTCCATGATGAATTTGGATAACAACAGTTTTATTAAATTTTAATGATAAACTTGGATAATTCTTTTTTCAATAAATTAAGAAATTGTTCAATTTGTTGAAAATAGAATTATCCAAGTTCATCATGAAAATTTAATGAAACTGTTGTTATCCGAATTCATCATGCTATTTTCAACAAATTGAACAATTTCAAGAAAATTCTAGTAAGGAAAATTGAAAAGACAAACTTTAAATTGATTAATGCCAAAAACTTTAAATTGATTAATGCCAAAAATTGGTTTTACAGCTTAGATATAGTATAGAGTTATAATGGAAACTTTGTATACTGCATAACTGCATATAGTTCCATGACAAAAAGCGATGTACGACACGCACGAACATCACAGTAAAATCATGATGCATTTTATTTTTTATATTCGTTAGGTTTTTATTTATTTCTTTCTTTCAATCGTTTGGATACTTGAATAAGTTTGTAAATTTTGAAAAAATAATTGATAATTTTTATAATTTTAATTTAAACAAAAACGATACTATAACAAATTTTAAAATGAAAACACCATAAGTTACAAACTCTCAGCTCTACTTAAACAAAGCTCGCCACACCCCTTATTTAGCGTCCTTGTCATGTGGGAAGGCGCCAGTTCAGTGAGGTTGATCCGAGGGCTGGCCTGCTGACACCGTATGTACAAATAAAACCGTGTTCTACGTCACTCAGCTGGCGTGGTACACAGTCTTTGTAGGCCTTTAAAAAGGTTGTGCACTGTGGGTATGTTAATAAATTTCGAACGCTCCTAACATGAGGATTTTCGTTGTTTTTATTGACTTTTTTTAATGAAAAGAATCATTTGACGTCTAATTGAGTTAAGATTGAGTTTCAAATTGCGAAGCAGTTGTCAACTGTTTCTTTCACTCACGCCTACGCATGCATATATATACACATACAGTAATTTAAGATATCTACCGAGTTACTATCGCTGGATAGTTTTTTGTTACACTTTTTAATTTTTCTAACCAAATGTAACAAAAAACTATCCAACGCTAGAAATTTGGTAGATTTAATAAATTACTGCACTAATCAATATTTTATCAGTCATCTTTTACCAGTATTCACAATTCGTTTATTTATCAAACAATCAATCTTCGTTTTGCGTCCAGAGACCCGGTTCCCCAAGGTAGGACGTTTATTTATCAAACCAGTAAAGATTTGACCTGGAAGATTAAAAATCTTTCTATATATAATTTTTACAATATATATATATATATATATATATATATATATATATATATATATATATATATATATGTTGATAATAGACCATAATTTTTACAATATTCTATAAATTCTACCGAATGTTTGGCGTTAATAAATATTATTCATTATTATATTAACGCCAAACATTCGGTACAATTTATAGAATATTGTAAAATATATATATATATATATATATATATAACATACATATATTAAACAGTATATAGTAGTATAAAAGATGAAGCAATCGCTGCTCAGGTTCTTGCGTGGTTGTCAGGTTTCGTCGGTCATAGAGATTGGCGTAAATGTAAATCCTTGCAAAATATAGATATATATTTTTTATTATATTATTCATTTTTATAGTATCTTTTGGAATTGTTTTTTATTTGTGTAGAGTTTTCAGTTAAAGTTTATATTTTTTTATTTTCTGACCATACAAGCCCATATTGAGCTTCTGGTCGGTGTTTTGAAATAAACATACACATATACAATACACATATGAGAAGTAGCTAAAAGGTCAAAAGTCATATTTGTTGTTCACGTGATTTGAATCTACTACCAAAATCTTAAAAGATAAACATTAAAATTTCTGTAGAAAATCAATGCATTTATTTGGAGCCACTAAAAATTTTAAAAACGTGAAGTTATTTTAAAAGCATTTTTATAATAATCGATTTTACTTCGACATCCACGGTAAATTAAAAATTATTTTACAATTGTTGGAGTTAAATGAAAATTTTTAAATTAAATGTATTGTACAAGTGCAACAACAAAAATTCAAAAATAAATTTATTTCAGAATGTAAAAAATATTTTAAAAACATAAAAAAAAGTATGAATTAGAGTGATGGATTAAATCTTCTGCAGAGGTTTCTTTCAACAGATGTTTGAAAAGTTTGTATATGGTTGTTAAACAGCTTTTCCAAATCGTCAGTTCTTTTGTTTTGTATCTTTCTAAACTCATCTAACGGTGAATTCAGGCTTCTGTCAGAAATCTTTCGCGATGAAAATAAATCAATTAATGTGAATAATTTAGTAAAATCAGTTATATTAATTTTAGTAAATGTGGTACATTCATTTTTCAATTAAATGCATATGTCAAGTAGAATATGACAGAAATCAGTTTTATATATGTACGTGCATAACCCTTAAAAGTATTTTGATATTTTTCAATGTTCGGTTACAAAATAAACTAATTGGTTTAATATTTTTCAGCAAAACATATACATCACTGAAATTTAATAGTAAATTTACGCGTTCATAATTTTAGTTCACAATCGGTGTTAATATTTCAATATTTTTCGGTAAAAACCTCTAGGACAGGTAAATAGAATTTATAACCTTTGGCAATAATTTCATTATTATAAAAATCAGCAATCAAATGTTCATGGATATGTATTTATATTTCATTTATTCATCCTAAGTTTGAATACTGTGTTCCACATGTCCTAATGAATAGGTACTATTTGACACAATACCTCGTTCAAAATAGTTTTATTGGTCAACAAAGGCGCCCCAAATTATTTTCACAATTATTGTCAAATCATCATGAAATAAGAATAACTCAAATGTGTCACGTTCATTCAAGTGCCTCAAATTTGAGAACTTACGCTGATTGGTCTCATTGTGTGTAGCAGTTTTCCACATTACCTTCAGGAATATATATTCACGTTTTTGGAATTTTTCAAACTAATTTATTTTGGATCAGATGTGCGATTTCGATATGGTAATAAAGCACCTCATGAACGTTTTCGTAATAATGTACGCTATATATATATATTACCTATATAAGATTTGGCTAATATATATATATATATATATATATATATATATATATATATATATATATATATACAAACGTCTGTGATTCCTTGTTGAATCTGCTGATGACATTTGTGTAGATAAAAATAATAATTAAAAATTAGAAAATAAAATATCCACTTCATCAAGTGGTAAGTCTTCAGATATGCCTTCCAATGAATCCTTCAGTGAATCAAACTTGCTGCAGAGAACATCAGTTTGATTGGGAGACACATCAGTGGTCAAACAATCGAATGAATCAACATTTTCAGTGTTGTCCACAATTTCAATTTTATCAACATTCTTCATGCTACTCTTTGAGAATGAGCATTGAAAATTGGAACAAATGTCATACGTAGAAGCGACATTATTACCTTTTAAGAGGTTAACATCGTTCCTTTCATTGTTATTCATGCTTAAATTTTTATTTTTATCATGGACTGTAATTTTAGACTTTTTCCATCTGATATTGCCTGTAGAAATTTTTGGAGTTGCGTCGAAATCAATTTTATTTTGATCGTTTTCAAGTATTTTAGAGCCTCTTTCATGTGTTGTTAGTGCTTTTGTCGTAAATTCTTTTGTTTTTGATGGACTATGTCGACCACAGAACTTTCTTAGGCAATCCACAACTTCTGTTTAGAAAAAGTTGCAATATGTACCAATTTTTTAGAAAAATTCTTAATTTTTATCACACAACATACTATTTCCGAACTTTTTATAATAAAATTTTTTTCCTAATTAATAAAAAAAATAAATCATATTTAATAAATATTACTAACAGAAAAAATATCAACCTCCTTAATTTAACTATCAATATTTACATGGTAGAAATAATAAAATATTAAAATACATCGGCAGGAATTACGAAAAAAAAAGAAATTACGAACCCCGGTCTCCTGGCTTATTATTTTCGGTAAGAAAGTCTGAGTTATCCTTCCCAAGTGACATCGACGCCACCGGCCTGTATAAAACAGTAGTCCACTAATTTACTGTACATTAATCCAAATTCAAACCTCAAGTTATATTTAAAAATTCACATTAACGACATTTGAAACACTTATCTAGCGAACACCCAAAAAGTTATTCGGAGCTTCCAATTTTGCCAGTAAAGTAAATAAATCATAAAAATTGAATAAATTTTTTGCTAACATTCAAACGTCTCTATGTTTTACACATATTACCAAATTCCTGGTTTAGTTATTTATAATTAATAATTATTTTGATATAATACCCACTCTTCAGGTTTGCAGTTCAATCTATGAAAACAATGCTAGGAAACACGGCAAATGTTGGTGTTGAATAAACTCTTTAAAATCAGCATGTAGGTTATAACTATAGGTGCTCAGAGAGGCTGTAAAAGCTATTTTGTTTCTGGGCTTATATGCTAAATTTTCATATAGAAACCTGTCAGATATGCAGTTTTATCATTCCACACCATAAAAAACACAAAAATGACATGCAAAGTTTGTGACAATTTGATGTTTAGCTCAATATTACAGCTTATAAACTTGTTTCAGTATTTAATTCATTGAAAGAAACTGTCCAAGGGAATCGCCACTAATATTTACTCGCATTACGTTCGTTATAAAAAATATAGTTCTCAAAACATTTTATTTTATTCACCTTCAGGGTAATCAGCAAATGAACAAAACTTGAATTAATGAATAACTTGAAGGTTCAAGGATTAATAAATCAAACCATTCCAATCCATCTCCACAAGTTTCTTTTTTGACAGTTAGAGAAATAGCTGCCCTATTGAGATTGTCTCTCAACGGTGAAAATTTATTTTTTGCGGATGTCTTCACTGAAGTATCGGGCGATCGCTTGATACGCAGACCACTCAATCTTGCCTTTTCACAGGCAGATGAAATATTGGAGAGGCGAGGTTGCTGTTTAGAATTTCGAGGATGTAATTCACAGACTTGTTGCCCTTTTTTTCGCTCATGATGTGCACTTGGCGAGTCACAAATTTTAGTCTTGTTTGACTGCTCAGTTGGCAAGCGAGGTGAGGTGCGATGTTTTCCGGGTGAGTGCTGCTGGGGTTGTGCGGTAGAGTAGTGTTGCGTGTTTTCATCACGTGTCAATCTCAACAATGCTGATTCGAGTTGAATATTTCTAGTCTGGAAATTTCAAACAATCTGGAGTGAATAATACTTAAACCTTGATAATCAACATTGCATCTGCTTTCTATATATTTTATATTTTCATTTACGATTTCAAATAACTCTAAAATTAGCGGGAAGGCCAATTAAGTCGTCTGCTTATTTCCAATAAATAAAAATTGAAAAGATTGAACGAAGTTTTGAAAAAAAAAACATTAAAAAACAATTACATTAAGATCTTTGAGAGATTTGTGGTAAGCACCCTGCAGTTCCAAAAATCGATTGTACGAGTCTTCACTGAATGAATGCAGCATTGGGGAGGATCTGTTATCACCCATCGTCTTGTCACCAACAAGCAACTTTCGTAGGTTCATATTTTCCAACTTTAAAGCATTCCATTGAGAAGTGATAATCTGAAAAAATTTGTTTTAAACATTATATTCGTTTATATTTAATAAACGTACCTACTGCACTGGCTGTGACATACAGAAACATACGTAAAATAAAAAATTAGGCACATATGTGTAGCAGACCAACAAAAACCTGCATTTGTATCCAATTGTTGTCCTCATTCTCATCTCTTCGTTTCTTCGTTTCTTCATCATTTTCATCATTTCTTCTCATCAACGTAATTAACTTTTCCTTCTCCATTAATGTTTTCTTGGCATATTCCAGTTCAGTCTCCATTTCTTTCAGCTCTTGCCTAAATCTGAATTCCATATGCAACATATCTTCTTTCAACTGAGCAAAGATTTTATTACAAAGCTTAAAAACTATGGTCAATGAAGTTTAAATAACACTTAATTTATCAATAAACAATCTCGTAAAATCAACAAGTAGACAAGTAAAGAGCAAATAAATCAACTTTCCATTCCATATTAACATTTAGTGAACCAGCAATGGCTTCTTTTAAATTTTTTTTTAAATGCAAACTTTTCCAAGCTAGTGACTATGAAGTCATTTAACTCTCACAAAAAATTGAGTCTATTTAAAACTTTAGGACTTATATCAACATTCCAACAAAAACAACTCATAACTACCTTTTGCAGCTCTCCTTGCAGCTGTTTTAAAGCAGTTGAATCTACGTTTCTGACTTCTGCCACCTGTTAGATATCAATAGACGGAATTTTTTTTAAATAATGAAACTTTATAAAAACCTTTTCTACAAGTCGGTTTGTCAGCTTTTCACATTCTTGAGAACTTGTCTGGAAATTATTCTGAAGATTCCTCACTTCTTCTCGTAAACAATCTTCAACTTTCACATGTAGGCTGTAAAATTTTGAAAAATTAACAACTGTTAACACATTAGCGCGGCATGTACATCAATTATTTCAACGTGACACTAAACGATATTTCCTGCTTGGCAAGCTGAAGATCTTTTTCAAGTTGAACAATCAGCTGGCCGTTCATTTCTAACTGCTGCTTCTCTTGTAGCATCTCTGACATTTTCTGAAATTTATTAATCCATTAATTTACATGGTCATTTAACTTCATCATCAAAAAGGTCGGTATTAGAATTGAACAAATAAATGCTAAAGTTCAAAGTTGAATAAAGTTTACCTTATTTGATTCTATAAGATCCCTGCCCAACTGATCGACCAGGGAATCTAACTTTTTTTTCTGTTCTTCTAACGTTAACTGGCTTTGTCTTAGCTCATTTATTACCAATTTCTGAAAATTTTCATTAGATTTATGAAATTTTGTGAAATAATAATGCTAAGGATTTCTAGCTCTAATATAAATGTAACCTGCATCAAATACAAAATAACTTGAATATTTTCATGTTGATCCTCCTACTTTTTCATACAAATTTTTCTTCTATTTTATTTAATATCAAAAATGCATGATATAAATAACTTCATTATAAATTACAAACAACGTAACTGCACTTTTTTCAATAAATTAATTTGATTTTGTCCAAAAAATTGTTTAAAAAACACTAGACATCAAATGTCTGTAGCAAGATGAAGCAATGTAAAACAGTTAACTTGTTCAGCGATAGTTGATTCATTTTCCTGTAATTTGCTCTTCATTTGGTCCAATTGCCTTTTATAAAATTTAGCAGGCTCCAATTGTTTTGTTAAGCTTTTCTTTTCATTCTCGAGATCGATTATTTGCTGTCTACAGCTCTAAAATTTATAGTGGAAAATAAATTTCGATCGAGATCTGTTGAAACAAAATTTATAACTGACATCTAATTTTTGATTCATAATCTTGATTTCTGAATCTTTATCAAGTAATTTATTTTCAAACTGAGCATTTTCGTTGTATTTCCCCATTAAACTTTCGTATTCCTTTTTCATTTCTGTAATCTGTCACGTACATTTAAAGAGAACGCATATTTGATAAGCTAAACTGAATTGAAACTCACAAAGCTGATATGCAATAAAACTTTGACAAATACATAATGAAATATAAAAATTTCAGCAACATGAACATTGAGACACCGACCTCCTGCTTCAATGAATTCAACTCTTGTTCGTACGAAATTGTCATCTCATTATTATTACCCTCTAAATTTTCAACGCTTCTTCTCAGTCGTGCAATCTTTTATATAGAAATTATAAACAGAATTATTTTAAAATTGTTGATACATAATTAAAACGCATCTAACTTTATGATAGTGATGAAAATAATACAATAGTCTATGACTATCTATTTTTGAAAAATACATTTTAATTCTTTTAATCAATCTTTTACTGACCAAAGTAACAAATTATATATTTTATTGAAAACAATAATGTATTGAAAACAATGATCAAAATACAAACAAAATCAAGCATTTGAAAGTGATTTTATACTTCGTGAACAAGTTTGATCATGCATTGATGTTATCAAACTGCAGCAAGCTAGTTTTTGTTATAAACAATATTAACACAAAAGCTATCTGAAATAATTATAAGTAGTCAATGTTGTCTTCATTCTATGATGCTATTTATAATGGTAAAGAATATCTCCAGTAAAATACTGAAATAACAAGCTACTTATAAATTTCAATAACCAAGATATTTGGATACTTTTTTCAAAATTCAAAAATGAAAAATGTTATTAATAAAACTATTCCCGAATCCAAAGAAAACGTCAAATTAATACTTGAAAAATAAACTATGTTCATTCCCAGGTGATCAATAGGAAACGAGATGTAAATTGATCAATATGTTAGTTCCCTTAAGACATAGGTCGTCGGCCAGATTTTATGACCAAAAAAAGGAGCCACAAATCTTGAAAAAATTCTTCCAAGTCGAAAAAATTAGCTATTCAAGTACATATGCGGCCCTTCAAGGGAAAAATAGTTCACAATGTGGCCCTCACAGCAGTTTTCCTACCCCCGCCTTAAGAAAACAATAAAAATGGAAAATGGTATATGCAGAACCAGAGGTGTAGCCAAGGGGATATTTCTGTCAGATTTCAGGTTAAACTTAAAATTTAAGTAACATTTGCCAAATGAATACTTTTAATATTAAATTTATTAAAATTATACAAATTTAATAAAAAACAATAAAACAGTAAAAAATTTTTAAAAATCCAAGCCCAACTCTTTAACAAAACATGTCAGGGAGTGCCAGAGTGCAAAATTTTTTAATCATTTGAAATTAAATTCATTCTGTTTCATCAATTCATACATACTAGGTACTGTCTGATAGACCAGTTAGATCTTTTTTTACCTTTTGATTTGACGATTTGTTGTTTAACAATGTATGTTCATTCTAAGTTATCTTTATAGTTAACATTTAATATCAGACTTTCTATTGGTAGTGAATCGGAAAATAAATTCTACATTAAACACATTATTCGATAAAAATAAGAATTAAGTTTCACAGTATATTATCAATTTCCAATTATATTTCAATAACATTGAATATTTTTAATTATAAAATTATATTACTTCTTCATTTTTTTGTTCAAGAGTTGTTCTTTGAAGGAGGCACTCTTGATTTTTGGCTAACATTTTGTTGTTAATTAGTTTAATTTCTTTTTGCCATTCCATCCTTTGAGAATCCATCACCAAGTCAATTTGCCTCATTAACTCCTTTACCTCCTTTTCACAACTTGATAGAACATTGTCTTTATCTTTGAATCTATGGAAGTGTTTAAATTTTATCTTTAAATTGATTTATTCATATTATATCTAGCAGAATAAGGAGAACTTTTCAACATATTTTCTGTCCAATTAAGATTTAATTTAAATTATAAGATTCAGTTTAAATTTTTAGTTTATGACTGTTGGTTCATTTTTTAACTGTTAACTCTAAACTATAAATGCACCCAAAGTTAGTTATATAGACTATAGATGATGATATGATACTCTCTTGTCTTGAAAAAAAAACACTAATTTAAAATGACTTTTCGAAAGGGTAGTTTTGAAATATTTTGTTTTTTTAGCATATTTTAGCATTGATTGTATTTTATTTTTCAAAGTTAAATTTAATTCTATTAAAAAATGTTTACAATAAAATAAATTTAGCAATAAATATTCAAAAAAAATATTTTTTTCAATTTTTATGAAAAAGCTATAGTTGATAATTTAAAAAGTGTAGTTCTTAATATTCAAATCAAGCATGCAGATTACTTTCATTGGGCATTTGTGAACCAACAGAATACCTTTTTGTTGTACATCAAACACAAATTTAAGTTTAAGGAGTGCTCAATATGCTTAGACATGTTTAATTGAAAAAATATTGTAATGGAATTGCACTGTAGATAAGTATTCCACTGGTGATGCTTCAATATATTGCTCAGGTAAAGTAAAACCTGTCAGCTTTGTGGCAATATGACAAAAAATCATCATTATGATTCTGCGGTTGGCGAAGATGGTGTTATAGGTGCAACAATACTGTAAAAAATTTACTAGAAGACTGTTAAAATTTAAACAAGAACAAAAATGAACATCTGTAAATGAACAACAAACACGCACTAGCTAGACCAAATTTCTATATTTTATAAAAAAAATTACCTTCCAATAATAGCGGAACAATTGCACGATATAATGTGGAATCAACTGCTATTTTCTTTCCTAAAATGGTCTGATGTGATTCCAATGAATTAGGAAAAAGCCTTAGTTGATAATTTAGCATAATAATTACCTAGTATTAAGCACATAGTTTATTTGCAGTGTAGGTCCAAAATATTTTTGAAAGATTTATTTTTTCGATTACAATTAAACAGATTATCAAAAAAGTATTTGTTGTGTCTAAGTGTCTTGTCCTGGTAATAGCAGGTTAGTTACCTCCTATTAGCTGTATAGTTTATATGCAGTGTAGGTCCAAAATATTTGTTAAAAGATTTTTTTTTGAATTTTTTCCACTTTTTAATTACTGTTAAAATAGATTAAAAAAAAGTATTTGCGGTGTGTGAGTGTTGTTTTATCGTGATAATAGCCAGATATTTACTTCGTTTTGGCTATACGGCTTATTTGCAGTGTTGGTCCAGATTATTTTTTAAAAGATTTTTTCAAGTTCACATACTTGTGTACATTTTATATTATGACCATTCAATGGTCACGGCCAATTAAAACTAAATACAATAAAAATACAATATTTTCTTTCATTAATTATTTTCTTTTCCTACCGTTAAATTATGTAACTTTTGGTTAACATAATTTTTTTTATTTACATAATTTACTTACTTAATAACATAATTAAACATTAAATGTTTAATCACACTTTCCAGTTAGCTTTCCATAAATTTATTCTTTAGAAACCTGTTTCATGAAACTGACTTATCATAATTATTAAGTAAAATTTTTTTGATTGTTTTGTAAAAGTAAAATAATTCCTTAAAAATTAAATTAAAAAATAAAATAAATTTATTCATTTTATTATCATTATTATTACTTTGATTGAAAAAGTTAAAAATTTAATAAATAAGAACAGATTGAATCAAAATTACGATGTATTTTGAAGGTAATTCCACATCTGAGTGATAGATGTTGGGGAGTGCATTTTCTTGGCCCCCTGATAATCTGATTGGCTTGGGTACAGTTGTCTCGTCAGGTTTTACCAGCAGTCATTAATCTTAATTTGAACATTTAAAATATCCGCGCTAATCATGCTAATATTAAAAGTTAACGAATTTTCTCCGGTGATAATCAAAGATTGTAAACGTTAAGTATTCATTGCATTTGTTTTCTCATTAATTTCAGTCGTTTCAAAAAATTCAGTTTTATCGAATGATTTTTAGTGTCGTTTTGTTTTATATATTTTATAAGTTTTCAATTAAATTAATAATTACATTTAAGACATTTGATTAAATATAAGAATTGAAATGAAGCGTTTTATCTAAATATTGACCTGAAAGCAACTACGTCATCACTCTGTCTTTTTATATTCAATCAATCCTTGGATATATTAGATATAGATTTTATATATTCATCAATCAATCAGACACTTTTATACAGCTCAGTTTATAATGTTTCAAACGAATTTTTTACACTTTTTTTGCAATGTAAAACATCACTTGTTGGAATCCCTCCGCATCAATTATAATGGTGTGTGACGTCATTGTTTTTCTTGCTTCCAGTAGTGTACAATGAGAGAGATGCGACAGGAAAATAAATTATAATTTAACATTTAATGTTTGCTACATTTACAAATTCTGGCAAACAATTTAAATGCTATTTTTTATTCTATTCTCTATTCTATTTTAATATATATATATATATATATATATATATATATATATATATATGTATGCAATTATTGATAAAAATCACAGCATGTTCAGCGTTAGTTAACTTCCTGTTAACTTTTCGATTTTTCTAATGGTTGATCGTAAATCATTCTTAAGTTTTTTGAGCTCAAAACCAAAATTTTTTATTATTTTATGCATGATATAACCAAAAGGCTTTTTTCGGTATTCCTATACCATCTTCGGTGTTCGAATTGATACGTTGTAGGTAGGGGTAGCCAGATGCTCAAATATATATACCCCGTCTCTACTCTACTTTATTGATTTCTTGTTTGTTCAAAGTGAATACTTAACACTCATTTAATTAGTTTTACAATCTTCAACCTCGTTTAATATAACACTTTTCCGTGTTTTCATTATCGATGGTTCCTCTGTTTCTAAATTTATTGGTCGGAAGATGTCCAATTGCCCGTTGTTGGATATTTATTATCGGATGTCTTTGTTCTATGAGTATTTATTCGGCTAGTCACAGTAACACAGGAAGTAAATAAATGGCCAATAAATTTTGACATTTTATTTCATCAAATCAAACAATGAAATCAGAAAAATGAAATCAATGAAAGGAAATGATCTGGAAATCGAAAAAGAAATCTGGACTTCTTGTACTGATCACCAGTGTCAATTTGTAATAATGATAAATGAGTAGCTTTAAACAAATAAAAGAATTTAAGGTACCCAAACAGGTTATAAAGAGTAATCTAATATTTCAAAACTGTTCCGAAATATTAAACATAATTTTAAAAAAAAGTTCAATATACCTAAACACAATATAATGTAGGTTATAGATATTTCAAACAGTAATTCTAATACTTCAAAATTGTTTCGAAGTTTAAAATTTAATAACACTTTGACTAACTTCTAAATTTTGAATCTTATCTTATAGAAACACCACGCCAGAAGCACATACACTCACTCACGCGCACAAAAACACTCACGTAAACACACACCTGTTCATTCACACACACTCACACAAGCACAGCACTCATTCACACACACTCACACAAGCACAGCACTCATTCACACACACTCACACAAGCAACCACATTCGCACACACTTAGACACACACAATGCTTACATGAACATGCTTTCCCAGATAACTAGATGGTGGTGTCGGGATCTAAGTTTGTTAAAAAGTTACGTAGCTTCCTTTTAAAGAGTTGTATGCTTTTGATTTCATGTAACTGAGGAGGAAGCAGTTCAGCCCAAATTTTTGGTCCAGTAAGTTTAATACTTGATGAAAATAATTTAATACGGGTTCTTTGTGTGTAAAAGAATTAGGTGTGTCTTGTATGAGCAGATAGAATAGAATTGCTTGTCGTGTAAAGGTGGTCTAGAGGAGTAGGAAGAAGTTTATAAATAAATTTGAAAACAAGTATGGCTGTGAAATAGTAATATATAAACCTTAATGGTAGAATATTGTTATTTGCAAAAAAGGGTTTAGTATGGGCAAAAGGATTAGTATTAAAGATAAGACGTATTGAGCGTTTTTGAGAGAGCGTAATGTTGTACAAGTGACTTTTAGGACTGTTTCCCCATACAGTTATGCAGTAGGTAAGATGGGGATAAATAAAAGCGTAGTAAAGGTTTAGTAGAGCAGACTGAGAAAGTTTGTATTTTATTTTGTAGAAAATTCCAATTAGTTTATTGACCTTTTGGGAAGTTGATTGCATGTGGTAGTCCCATGAGAGGTTATCTGTTATATTGATACCTAGGAATTTAGTTGAACGAGTACGATTAATTGGATTGTTGTTAAGCAGCAAGTTTAGATCTTGGACTTGGTTAGTTAATATTTTGGGACCAAAAAT